ATTATTATTATTATTATTATTATTATTATCGTCATTATTGTTATTAATCATCGTCACTACATGGTATTATCAATATTCGTTAATCGATTAGTTTACCGGTCACACCGACCTGTGTATACCACGGTGTGCATCCGTCATTACCATTAGTATTATCGTCGAACCACCACCGTTCACGATTGTGTCACGTGACGTGTGAACATGTCGTCGCGATCGTTCGCCGATTCGTATTCTTCCTTTTGTCTTTTTTTTTTCTTTTTTCTTTTCAATTTCTCCCCCCCCTTTCTTCTCGTGCGTCCAGTGACAAAAGCGAACGACGAAACGAAAAAGGAACGAAATCGTGGAAAATGAAATCGACTGGTGGGGTGGGGGAGGGGGGATGAAACGAAACGAAAAAAAAGAGAAAAACGAAACAAAAAAAAGAAAAAAAAGAAAAGAAATAAGAAGGGAAGGAAAACGCGAAAGAAAGTGGTAGAAGAAGAGAGGTGTTTGCTCCATCCGTGGCAAACATACACACAGAAATACACACACACGCGCACACACACACACACACGCACACGCACACGCACACGCACACAAGCCGGGCATATATCGAGCCTCGAGGTGTACACAGAAGACTCTGTCGCGTCTGAAATACAAATGGCCCCCTTTTGCTCTTGTCCACGGGTATCGATCGCGAGTCATCGTTCGACGAATGCGACAGGGTCGTCGAACCTCGATCCCTTAACGTTCGCTCACTTGCCTGGGTTCTTAGATGTTAGATTACGATCGCATGGCATGCGCTTGTATCGTTTCAGATATACGTATTATATATATATATTTTTTTCTATTTTATTCCTTTTCTCCTTTTTTAGTTTTGTTGATTATTTTATTTTTATTATTATTATTATTATTATTATTATTATTATTATTTGTCTTTTATTCTCGGTTCCGTTCGTTCCGTTTAATTTAGCGTTCGCCTGTGTTTTCGTTGGCGACACTTTCATTCCATCGAACACACCACGTACCTTTGTACTCGTATCGAGGGATTCCACGTGATCAGCGATTGTATGTAGAGACACATTCGAGTGTGCATAGGCTGTAAGAAGAATTGTAAGAAACAACGAGACCGCGCGAACGTTCGTCGCGCGACAGTGTGATCATTCTCGCAGTTCTATGGCGAGGATATCATTTGCGATGGAGGTACCAACGTTGTACGGATTTCTGGTGCACGGCTGGGTCCATTTTGTCGAGTCACGTACGATAGGGTGTATTAACAGGTGTCCATTTGTCTACGCGCAATAGTCGTGCGTGCACACTGCTTTTGTATGGAATTCTTCTCCTTTTTTTCTTGGATTTAGAGACTTGGAACTCGTCGAGTATTGAAAATTGAACGTTGATAATTGGAGAGTTCCGATTTTTCTGAAAATTTGTAGGTTTGCGAGCATTTTTCCCTTGGCCACGAACCGATTTTTCAAAGTAAAAACATCGCCTGAAATGATCACCTGAACGAAGACTTAAAATTATGTCAGTAAAATTGGAAATGATTGAATTATATATGGAATACTTACGGTATATTTGTCACAAATGTGTTCGAATGCGCTCACAATTACTTATAAAAGTAAGAAGCATCATTTTTCATCGTTACGACAGCCTTACGGCGACCTTTCACTTAACTCACTAGCGCCACCACGGTCACTATCTACTACAGGTGTACAGTAAATATCGCATATATCGTTGAATTATTTTCTAACCTTACTGACGTCATTTTGAAACATCCTTCTCACTATATACATCCTTTAGATCATCTCAGTAATCTC